ACCTCCTCCCTGGGGGATAGGCAACAGAAAAGTGGGTGAAGGGAGACATTGGACAGTGTAAGATATGACAAAATAATAATTATCAAGGGTTCCCGAGGGAGGGAATAGTGGGGAGGGAGGGGGAAAATGAGGAGCTAATACCAGGAGCTTAAGTGGAGAGCAAATGTTTTGAGACTGATGAGGTCAACAAATGTACAAATGTGCTTTACACAATTGATGTATGTATAGAATGTGATAAGAGTTGTATGAGCCTCCAATAAAATGATTAAAAAAATAAGGTATGTTTTGCAAAAGCAATATAACCATGCACTTTGATAGGGTCCAGTATTCAAAGAAATGTCACGTGAAGCCTTTATTATGGAGAAGTGGCGTGTGCATGTGCTCTCCTAACGCTGCATTGACACAAGGAGATGGATCTAGTCACGTATGTGTATCAATGTCGTATGTTGTATTACTGGTGGAATATATAGAAATGAAACCATTGACAGGAGCCCTGGTGGGTAGTGGGTTACCTGTTGTCCTGGTAACTGCGAGGTCTGTAGTTCAAAACAACTAGCTGCTTTACAGGAGAAAGATGAGGCTTTCCAGTCCCATGTGTACAAATCAACAAACCTTGTATTTTGTTCTGAGAAACAAATACAGTGAGCTTTCCTTTTCTCAATGGTGTTTTAAATTCTACACTGTTTGCTAAATGAGTGGTATTACTATATGCCCCATAGGGATGAGTTAGAATGTTTTCCAATAAAATAATGATGATGTTCTAAAGTGAACCAGGGATATATATAATGGATTTGGAGCCTCCACTTAATCAGAGCCCTAATCTAAAAACAATTACTTCTTTTTGTTTTTTTGGTTTTTTTACAATTACTTCTTCTGACATGGATCTGCTTTATATTTGCACTCATGAAGTGATCACTGAAATATGTCTACTATAGGCTAGTGTGGTGAAGAAAACAGATGGTGCTCGGCCATCTGAAAGAATAATGTCTGGGACCTGAAAGGCTTGCCTTAAAGCAAGCAGACATCTAAGTCAGATGCAATCTAAGTCCACACAGAAAATGGACATCAGCCTTTGTGATCCAAGGACTGTGAATAGTAAAATCCAGAGGAGGGAATGGTATTTGTGTTAGCCTGGGTAGACTAGAGAAACAAACACATAGAGACTCATATGAAAGAGCTTTATATACAAGAGCAAGTGAAGATTGAGAAAACATCCCAGCCCAGTCCAGATCAAGTCCAAAAGTCTGATACCAATCTATAGAATCTCTTCAGACTCACGAAAGCCATGCAATGATGCCGAATGCAGGAAGATCACAGGCCAATGGGTTGGAAGTCTTCTAGATCCAGTGGTGTTGTAATGATCTCAGCACTGGCAGTGATCTCTATGTGGCTTCTCCACTTCCAGAGGGCTGGTTGAATCAGGGTAGGTTTATGTGGCTTCTCCAGCTCCCAGGGCATAGTGCCATGTGTCTTGTCAATAGAGTGTCTCTCACGGAATGAGCAGAGAGAGAGGTGTCTCCTGCCTCTAAGGAGGAACTATAGGAATTCCCAGAATTCTCAGGAGAAGGCTATTCCCACACAGAGGCCTCATTGGTTATAACTTGATTAATGGGCCTGACTCCACCCCTTCACTCTCAATCTTCTCAAATTGACACCAGATTATGTAACTACCACAGTATTAGAGCTGACGTTCAGAACACCTGGTGTTGCAGACTACAGACCATTTGAAGGCGCTCCATCTGGCTTAAGCGCTGGTGAACCCCCTTTGGCAGGTTGATCCGGAGTGGGAGTGGCCGTGTTGTCAGTGCATCCTGTGGTGGATTACTGCCATTGTGTTTGGGTTACAATGTGACATTTTTGTCTTTTGATCTCTCTTTTGATATAAAGTATATTTGACTCAGTTTTTAATATTTTCTACTTTCTTTTCGATTGAGAATTTTCTGTTTTATTCTGTATTGTTGGCTTTTTGTTTTGTCTTGATTTTGTATTTCTGTATGTATAATCCAGGATAGGTAAGACTATTGAGACAGCCACTGGATTGGTACTTTCATAGGGGCATGTCAGGGGGAGGTTGGCAGGAAATAATAACAATAAGTACAAGGAAGAAGAAATGTCCCCTCATTGATTGTGGTGGTGATTACACAGCTCTTTTTAACATGATCGAACTATTGAAATGTATGACATGTGAATTATGTCAATAAAGCTGTTTTAAGTAAAAAGATCTACAGTCTCAGAAACCCACGGAAAAGTGCTACCCTGTCCTATAGTGTCACTGTGAGTCCCAATAGACTCAGTGGCAGTGAGATACAGCTAACTAACTGTCTGACTTATGGTTGGGAATTTTAAAGGGATAAGAGCAGTTGGGGTAAAAGGAATCCTGTTTAAGACATGGTATGAGCGTTTTTGTCAAGGCAGTGGGGATGGAGCTTGAATATGATGACTATCCTCTCACATAGTCAGCTAGAGTTGGAGAACTCGGTCTATCACCCCATGTTGCTGATCCCCTTATGAGCTCCTCTGTGCTTTCCCCGCAGCGCTACGCTCCTGGCGTTCCTGGTGGAGCTGCTGAAAAGCTCAGTGGCCATGCAAGAGCAGATGCTGGGCGGGAAAGGCTTTCTAGTCATTGGCTACTTACTTGAAAAGGTAAGGGACAGGTATTGGCGATTTTATTGTCTAGCATTTTGCAGACAGGCTGTGATGATCCTTTGACAGTTTGCCTGTCAGTTGTGCACAGGCCAGTGTGCCCCACCCAGTCACAGACTTTGTTCTAGTAGTGAACTTAGTCACTAGTCCCTGGGGCCTTCAAAACGTTTGTGGGGAAATGAATTGAAAAGATGCGGGACTTTCCCATGAAACTTCTGAACCCCAGGTACAGTGAGCAATCGGGTGTTGGGCATTTTGAGTAAAAATGGGAGCTGAGTAAGGAGGAACAGTTCATTGACGTGACTCATTGGTCGTCAGTGCTATTGGCCCTGTTTCCTCCTAGCTGTTCCTCTGCTCTCTACTCTCAGACTTTACTTCCACGCTCAGAGGGAGGAGGTCGGCTTCATGTCTTTGAAATGGCTTAACTTGGCATTGTTGCATTGTTTCGAGTTTTTGTGTTGTTTTGTTTCTCAACCAGAAGGTTAACATCTGGGTTTTGTGGTAGCAGAGGCCGTTTTCTATGCATGGCCCTGCTTTTTAATTGTGGGGAAAATCTACCCAACTTTGCAGACACCCAGTTGCCCTGATTTCTGCCTGGCTGACAGGTCACCTGCAGAAAGGCACCTTATGTCAGTGATGAGCCCCCGACCCCATAGACATGACACCCTTCTGGCCAGAGTTCGTGCTCCCTCAATGTCCCTCCCCAGGCCAACAGAAGGTTGTCCTCATCATTTGGTGCCACTGAGTGGGTGCCAGTCCACAGCCATCCACGTACAACTCAGTGAAACACTGCCTGACTGGGGGCATCCACACCATCCTGTTGCAACAGTGAAAGTAGCTCTACTTCCTTTCAACAGGATGTCAACAACACACGAGAGCACACGCGCTCCTGTGTGCAATGCCCACCAGAAAGGAGCCAGTTGCAGAGCCCCCCACTGCCCCTGGCCCCCCAGAAATACAGGAGTCTGGTGGTGTCATGGGTTAAATGCTCAAGTGATGAGCTGCTGAGCAATCCAATGCCACACGCCTCTCCTTGGGAACTAGAAGAGGCAGTCTCTTCCCTTAAAGATTCACAGCCTCAGAAGCCCCAGGGACCAGGTCTGCTCTGTGAGGCCGAATTGGCTTGGTGACCTGTTTTTGGTTGGGTCTATTCACATGGAAGACGTATTTTTGCATTAAAGCTGCTTCTCGTTTTAGCTCTTGCTTTTCTCTCGTTTCTTTCTCTCGCTGCATCTTTTCTTTTAATAACGCAGGTATTTTGGGTGTTTCTGTCATCTTATAAAATTTTCATGTGCAGTTATAAAGCAACCCTTACTGGCTGTCTCTGCCCTGTTGGTGTTTAACACACAGGCCTGTCTAGGTTATACTTCACACCCAGTCAATGTCACCTTTCAAGCTACTTCAGGCCCTTGTTAACATCCAATATGCTGCATCGTTTCCCTGCCCGTTTCATTGACTGTCTGCCCCGCTTCTCCTCCTCCCTAGAAGAGAAATTCTCTAAGGACAGGTTTGGCTTCCTCTGCTCTCATTCCACATTGCCTGGAAGAGTGCCTCCCAAATACCAGGTACTAGAGAGTTCACTTCCTTGATGGCAAATGAAAACGCTTCCGCTTTACGCAGGCTCTGCACAAGCATGAAGACGTGGTTGCTGAGGAGCCACGGTGGGGTGGAGAGTGAGGGGCATCTGAGAGGAGAGGAGAGCTAGCAGGCATCCACAGTCAGACTGGCATAGGGTTTCTTGATCCCACAAGGTTTGCTACTCGGGTAGAGACTGGTGGAACCCTTGAGACTGACCCCTAGTCACCCTCAGGACTGGGACTGAACTTTCCTGTTAGCTTCCATTTTCAGGCAAACAATAGACAGTGGAAGGGCCATAGCAGCTTCCCCAGAAACCCAAGTAGGAGGCAATACTGTGGGTGTGGTAGGCCCCATGGATCTTGAATTAAAACCCATTGGGGAGTGTGGTTTCAGGGGTGTGTGAGGATGGCTCAGAGAAGTTTACATTTCCTTCTTTCAAGAAGGACCATTGTCCATGCTTGTCCATGTGGAACTCACTTGTCAGCAAGGTGGGAGTGAGACCACGGTGTGTCTTAAGGTCATGATGGCGCTGCACCGTCGTGATGTTCCGTACTGGGTTTGATTTCTCTCATTTGAGCTATGAAGGGCAGCCTTATGGACACGGAGGTATTTGTCTGCTCTTGTCTGGGCAGAGGGCTTCAGATAAACTGTCCTCCAAATACACTTCCTCATGTTCCCAGTTTCCTCATAAAGTGGTATTTTGAATGAGCATGGGGAAAACAAGATTCCATACTTTGCGTCTAACTGCGGGACATCATACAAACACACATGGACTTAGCTGTGTCCCAGCCCTCTAGCCTCACCTCTCTTTCTTTCTGTAGTCGTCCCGAGCCCACATCACCCGTGCTGTGTTAGAGCAATTCCTGTCCTTCGCAAAGTACCTGGACGGCCTGTCCCACGGAGCGCCACTGCTGAAGCAGCTCTGTGATCACATCCTGTTTAACCCGGCCATCTGGATACACACTCCGGCCAAGGTATGGCTCGCACTCCGCCTCTCCCTCAGCTGATTTGGTTCTAGCGATCGTAGCCACTGGTTCTGAGGTACATGGGAGCAAACCTTGGGGTCTTTTCATATTGCCATAGTAAGGTAATCGGAATGGATGCCCTAGAATGTCTGCTCCTATGTAGAGCCACACTGCATTGCACGTACTTTGGACATGTCATTGGGGGGGGAGGGGCAGTCCCTGGGGAAGGGTCCTAGAAAAAGAGTAAGACCCCCAACAAGATGGATTAACACAGTTGCCGCAACAATGGGCTCAAACATCCCAATGATTGTGAGGATGGTGACGCACTGGGCAGTGTGCACGGAGTCGCTGGGAGAGGGAACTGACTCGGCCGCACCTAACAACAGCAGTGATGCTCAGTTGATTCTTCACTTAAAAGAAACTAAACGCACTGCCACAGAATCTATTACGATTCACAGCTTACCCTAAACCAAAACAAACAAACAAAAAACAACAACAACCCAAAACCCAATGCCATCCAGTGGATTCTGACTCACAGTGACCCAATATAGGGTTCCCAAGTTTGTAAGTCTTTATAGGAGCAAACAGCTTCATCTTTCTCAATGGAACTGCTGCTGGGATTGATCCTCTGACCTGACGGTTAGCAGCCAAGTGCTTATCCTGTTAGTGCCACCAGGACTGCTTATAACCTGTACTTAGTTAAGTAAGATTTGGCTAAAAGAGGCTGTTATATGGTGACATGGAGAGAGAGAATATGTCCCTAGTAGTAATCGACACGATGGCAGTGGGTTTTGTTTGCTCTGGTTACTTACCTGTTAGTTGAGGAAACTGTATTGCTGGGTCAGCTTATAAATTCAAACTCAGTGCTGTAGACTTTGGTGAAAGTTAAACATGAGGCGCTTCTGTGCACACTGCCCTGTGGTGAGGGTGAGCGCATTGGAAATGACAAGTGCTCTCACAATCCCATGCCAACACTTCTTCTCTATAAGGAGAACGCTGGCCAGTGTTATGAGGCAGTGCATCTCCATGCATAGTTGTGCTCCCGTGGAGACCGAGCACGCTGGGCGCTGTGGAAATGGACTTTGCTTTAGTGCAGCTGGCTCCGTGCATAAATTGCTGTCCCCTCAGGTTCATTGCAGTTGAACCATTGGCAGAATTTTTAAAAACCTTCAAATGTGATTAGCTATTAGAGTTCCTTTATTAAAGTAGGTTCTATTCCAGGTTGTTGTTGATTGTAGATTATTCTCTTTAAAGACGATAAATGATCACATTACAAAAAGGGTTATGTTTCTCCTCAAAATCATTGGTCATCCACCAACCTTCCCAGATGGACATTGACCTCAGGGAGCGTGCATGGCTGTATTGTGGACATCTGTGATGCTTCCCCTCTCTCCAAATTCTCTCTGCATAGGTACAGCTCTCTCTGTACACCTACCTGTCTGCTGAATTCATTGGGACGGCTACCATCTACACCACCATCCGCAGGGTCGGGACAGTGCTGCAGCTGATGCATACCCTGAAGTACTACTACTGGGTCATCAGCCCCGCTGACAGCAGTGGCATCTCTCCCAAAGGCTTAGGTAAGTGCAGCCCCGCTCCAGCGGACACCTGGCCTAGGTTGTGCTGGGCCCTGAGCACTCAGGCAGGAGAGGACACTGGTGACCTGTTGCTGAGCAGCTCCTGTTCTCCCAGGAAGACTGACTGCTCTTGTGAGAACTGCGTGGTAGAGAGGCGATCATAGCACCGAGGTCTTGCAGTCTGCTGGGGAGAGGCAGGTGACAATAGACACTGTTCCGCATTGACTACTGCATCTTTTCTCGATTCAAGATGGTGACACATACAAGGGGGGATGTCATAAAGTTGGTGGAAAAAGTGAAAGGAAAAGACACTTCCACCTGTAGTGGGCACACTCACTGCAGGACTGACTATGCAGTTTTATAATCATGCCACGATAGTCAATTATTAGCTGTTTCATTGTGGTAAAAGCATACTGCAGTGAGTCTATGCCCACATTGTGTCTCTGGGCAGTCCCTTGCTCCCCTGTCCAGCACCATCCGGCCCCTGGGAGCCACTACCACGCTTGCTTTGTAAGCAAGTTTCACAGGAGTGAGCTCATGCAGGACTTGTCTCTTGCTACTGGGTGTCAAGTGGAAGGTCATGGTTTGAAGCCCTCAGCTGTCTGCGTCCACAAAGATGGCAGCCTGGGGTCAGTTCTGTTCTGTCCTATAGGGCTGCTGTGGATGGGCAGGGGCTCGCCTGTATCAGGTGGGCTTGGTTTTGCTCTGGCTAATTCTCTGTTGTGGTCACTGAAGGAAGACTTGCTGTTCTGCCTCACATCATTGGAGGCATACAAGAAGGAGCTGCCCCGTTCAGGACAGTTCCTGGTAGCTCAGCCATTTGCTGGGGAGAGTGTCAGGCACTTCCTACACTCCTCTTTTGTAAGGAAGAGATATTTGAAGTAGAGACCCGCTGCGGAAGCAGGACTCCCCTCCCTTCTTCTGCCCGCACTAAATCTTCATCTGCCTGCACTCACTAGCACACTGGTGGCTCTGACCAGAATCTGACCTCTTCTCTCTCTCTCTCTTTCTCTTTCTCTTTTACACACACACACACACACACACACACACACACACACACAC